GTCCACTCCACCATGTAGCCTTCGCCCTAGACTCCTGTCATGACAAAAATACCTAATCACATATTCCTTTTAAACAGTTTTTTTCCTCACCTGTTTCAATGCATTATTGAACTCATCTTTCTCAGTCTCCCTCCAACCCTGATTCAGTGCAGTTTTACAACAGTGGCACCATGTAGTATTTGTCCTTTTGTGACTGAAATACTTCACTCAGCATAATGTCCTCCAGAGTCACCTATTTTGAATAATATTGCATGAGTTCCTTGTTTTTCAATGCAGCATAGTATTCCATTGTGTGAATATACTACAGCTTCTCTAGCCATTTGTTTGTTGATGGGCACTTAGGTTGTTTCCAACTCCTTGCTATTTTGAACGAAGCCATGATAAACATGGGCGTGCATATATCTGCTTGGGTGTCTGTTATGGTCTCTTTTGGGTATATTCCCAATAATGGAATTGCTGGGTCAAATGGTATCTCTATGTGCAACTTTTTGAGAAAGCACCATAGGTAGCCTTTCAGAGTGGTTGCACCATTTTACACTCCCACCAACAGTGAATAAGGGTTCCAGTTTCTCCACAACCTTGCCAGAATTTGTTGCTTGCTGTTCTGTTAAATTTTGCTATTCTGACTGGGGTAAGATGATATCTCATAGTTGTTTTGATTTACATCTCTCTTAGTGCTAAGGATTTTGAACATTTCTTGTTCATTTCATGTGCTTGTTAACCATCTGAATGTCTCCTTCGGTGAAGTGTCTGTACCTATCCTGTGCCCATTTTTCTATTGGATTATTTACCTTTATCTTGTTGTGGGCTCCTGTGGCACCAGGCTTCCCATGGCATCATGCCAGGTGATGTCTGGGCTGCTGCCTCCATGGATGTAGAGTGTGGACCTAGGGAGAAGGAAATCCTTGACAACGTCAATCTTTTCTCCATTTACCAAGGCATTGCTTATTGGTCCAGTTTTGAGGACTTTTGTTTCCTTTGAAAGTAGTTCTAAAGTTTAAGTGATTTCTATTCACTTTTTTCCAAGTTCACAGATTCTTTCCTCCATTGTGTGTTTATCTCTGGTATCAGGTTTCCAGAGTTTAAATTTCATTCTTTTTTTGATAACTTCTGTCTCTGTTGAAATGTTCCTTCTATCCATGTGCATTTCTCACCGTGACTATGAGATCCTTGAGCATAGTACTCACTGTCATTTCACAATCCCAGTCTGACAGTGTTCCCCTCTAGTCAACCCTGTCACTCAATGATGTACTTGTCTGTCACTCAGTGATGCACTTGTCTGTCTGTCACTCACAATGATGCACTTGTCTGTCACTCAATGATACACTTGTCTGTCACTCAGTGATGCACTTGTCTGTCACTCAATGATGCACTTGTCTGTCACTCAATGATGCACTTGTTTTTCTTTTTGATGTATTTTCTGGTAAATATTAATTATTCTCAGAAATGAGTTTTCTCTTCCCCTCCCCCTCTTCTTTTGTCTTTCTTATTTATTGCTCTGCTCTCAGAGGCACGGGAAGCAACTGAAAAGACCTTGCCTTGAATCAGGTGCAGCTTAGCCTTTAAATGGACATTGTTACACATTAGCATTTCAAAAAGGTCCTTGACAGCAGATTTCACCAATGCAACACACCTTTTGACTGCTACTACCAGAAAAATGACCCAGAAAGCATCAAAAGAAGATGGAGGGAATGAATACACAGAATCCTATCCCAAAAGGAAGTGGCCAAATGAGCTATTTCAGGAACTACCACAAACCAGTGACGAATTAGGACAGTTTGCAAGAGGGTACCATTTCCAAGAAGCAGCACTCTGTTAGATTTGTCTTCTCCTAAACTTTGAGCTAAATACTCCTCGGGAAAACGATATCATTAAACTTTTAGGATGCTGTAGATGTATAGTTTTATCTGTGTGGTTGCCTGCCTATAAATATAGAAAGAAGTATAGAAGTAAGTTCCAGAGAGTACTGCACTGTGTATAGGTTTTACATTTTCTGTCCCAATCACTATTTAGTGGACTCCTGTGTTTTTCTTCCAGCACCACCTGAGCAAACACCTGTGGTCCAGGAATGCTTTCAGGGCAACGGACAGAGTTACCGAGGGACCTCGTCTACCACTATTTCAGGGAAAAAGTGTCAATCTTGGTCATCCATGACACCACACCGGCATAATATGACACCGACCAGATTCCCAGACGCGTATGTCTTTCATTTTAACTGGAAGAGAAGCAACATCCAAAATTTAATTTCTGATAGAAAAGCTGTGTTCTTTCTACATTAATTTATTTGTACCAAACTTCTATTGGCTCGAGGGTGTGAGACAAAATGTCTTGGGCAGCTTGATTTTGAGTAAAGTGTTTGAATAATGAAAACTTGGAGGCTAGGTATGTTTGCTGAATAGTTTTCCTGAGGAGGGTAAGATAGGTGGGGATAGTAAGGCCATCCTGGTGGGAAACTATGAAGGCAAAATGACAGAAGATTAGGAACAGCATCATTCCATAACCAGCTAAACATCAGCACTGTCTTTTAGCTCTGTGTTCATGCTATTTGGGATTTGGGGTCATGCGTGTGTGTGTGTGTGTGTGTGTGTGTGTGTGTGATCTGTACAGATTCACTGAGTCTTGAATTCTACTAATCCAAAGGAACATTGCCCACATATAAAGAGCCAAGTCTGGGAGGCAGCGAAAGGCAGGAAATGCATACGTAGATGCCAACAGGTAAAATGGGCAGGTTAATTGACAAAGACCAAGTGTGACTACAGCAGCATTTCTGCCAGAAATAATGATAACATACGTAAGGGAAAAGGCTTCCAGAAAAAGGACAATAGACAGCACAGGAACAAGACTTTTAGAGAAGGAAACAAATGAGGTCAAGCCCGGAATCACCAGTCCAAATCCACTAGCTGCTCTGCAGGAGAAAGGTGAGAGGCAGTCGACCTCTGTGAAGATTTACAAACTCAGAAACCCTGCAGGGCTGTTCTGCTCTGTTCAGTTCACTTGATGACAGTGGGTTGGATTTGGTATAAGCCATATGGTGGGTGGATGGCTCCTTAGGGCTTCCAGCCTGACCTGGAAGGGTGGCTGAGAGTATCCTTTTACATGCTTTATCTTCACTGGGTAAATATGTTTTAGTTCAAAATGACGTAACTCTCTGTATTCATATGCAGAAAGATATACATATATTTGCATGTGCGTGTGCATAGAAAAGAGTCTAAAAATGTACTTCAAAATCTCTGCTGGTTATTCCCAGGCAGTATATTTCTTAGTGTTCTAACACCTTTTTTCACATACACATTGGATCTCAGTCTTTGTGTACTAAATAACTTTCATTTAAAAAGAATAGCACCTTATTTGTTAGTGTTCTAATACTTCCTTTTACATACACATTTTATCCCAGTCTTCATGTATTAAATAACCTTAACATTTAAAATATTTAAAAAGAATAGAACCTGTCTTTAAAATTGATCCAGCTGCTTGGAAGCTGGGGCCCACTTGTGCCTGTGTCCCTCCCACTGCAGCTTTCAGGGAAACCTTTCTAAGTCATAGTTCACAACTCTTTATTGTGTCGACCGTCAAGGCACACGTGTGAGGGTCACCAAGATGCCCCATCTCCTGATCAGGACTGTTTGGGGATTTGCAGAGACTTGATCCTGAACTATTGCCGGAATCCCGATGCTGATGGACGACCTTGGTGTTACACCACGGACCCGAGCGTCCGCTGGGAGTATTGTAATCTGAAGAAATGCCCAGACACAGAAGGAGGGAGCACTGCAAACCCACCAGCTGTGTCCAGCACAGAGTCTTCTGAGCCAGGTAAGAAGTGTGTGTCAGAGGTGTCCTGTTGCTTTGGCAGAGAGATAAATGGCCTCAGAGGTTTAAACACTGCCTATTTGAGTGTGGGCTGATGACAGACCATGTGAGAGGGAGACTGATTTCTTAGCTATTCTGGGAGACATCACTGCTACTTGAGGTGTTACGTAGGCAGGCACTTTCTATATTCCTATTGTCCAGGGGGCCTTAAACTTGATTACAATTCATTGCAACCTCATGTGACAGAGAAGAATTGCTCCATAGGTTTTTGTTTTTAACTTTTTTATTGTGATCTGGTTAAAGTATACAGAACAAATTGGTTTTCCATTCAACAGTTCATACGTATTTTGTTAAGTGACTTTGATTTCAACCTCCATGACATGTGTGACAGCATTCATGGCACCTGCCCTGCATTTATTGTGTCCATTCTTCCTTCTTTCCAGTCCCTTCCTGCCTTCTGAGCACCATCTCTGCTTGAGCAGATGCTGCTCCTTTGATCACATATGGTTGATTGTTGTAAGGAGTCTGTACTTGACAACATATGTTTACTGTTTGCCTTATAGATCTACCTATTTTCTGACTGAAAGTTGAACCACAAGGGTGAGTTCAGTACCAGGTTTGAAGAGTAATTAAGGGCCATAGTCTTAAGGGTTCCACCAGTCTCTATTTAGACTATGTTGTTGTTGTCTTGTTATGTGTCAGTGAGTCAACCATGGCTCACAGAGACCCTGTGAACAATGGATCTGAATCTTGCCCTATCCTGAGCCAACCTTACCATCTCTGACACACCTGACCCCCTTGTCACAGTCACTGTGTCAATCCAACACCTTTAGGATCTTACTCTTCTGTGCTGACTTTTCCTTTTCCAAGCATGATGTCCTTCTCCAAGGATTGGTGTCTCCTGGCAGCATGCTCAAACTATGTAAGACAGAGCTTCAACATCCTTGCCTTCAAGGGGCAACCTGGTTTCACCCTCTGCAGGACTGAACTGTTTGTTTTCTTCACAATCCATTTATTCAGTACTCTTCACCAGTACCACAGCTCATGTGTCCAATCTTCTTTCATCCTTAGTCATTGTCCAGCTCTCAGATGCATAGAAAGCAATTGAGAAGATCATGGCTTGAATAAGGTGCATGTTAGTGTCTATACTGACGTCACTGCTCTTCAGCACTCTGGAGAGTCCTTGACTGCAGATTTTCCTAAGCAATTCTCCCTTTTAAAAACACTTTTTATTTTATATTGGCTTGCTTACATTGTGTTTCACACTATACTTCCTTCACATTATGTTCATACAAATATTTCCATTCATTACAGGGGGTTTGGGTAGGTATTTTTTACTGTTGTTGTTGTTGTTATGTGCCATCGAGTCACTTGCGACTCATAGCGACCCTATGTACAACAGCCCTAACATTGAGCCTTGACATACAACAGCCTTGACACTGAGCCTCAATCCATATTGGAGGCTGCAGTCCTTGACCCTCTGCAGCAGGTGCTTCAGGTCCTCTTCAGTTTCACCTAGCAGGGTTGTGTCATCTGCATAATGCAGATTGTTGATAAATCATCCACCAATCTTGACCCCACATTTCTCCTCATAGAGCCCATTTTTTACTAGTTATATTTTTATTTCTACAGTAATGGTCTTATATAATATTGGTCCTTATGATATTGTGTTAGTTCACTCAGTATAATGCTCTCCAGTGCCCTTCCAAGTTATGTAGTAATTTTTGAAATCATTGCTTTTGAGTGCTGCATAGTATTCCATTATGTGAATGCACACAATTTCTCAATCCATTCAATTGTGGTTGGACATTTGAACTATTTCCATGTTCTTGCGATGGTGGATAACTCTGCTATGAACATCGGTGTACAAGGCTTTAAAAAAACCACTCTCACCAAAAGATAGGTCAACACAAAGAAACTTAACAAAAATGCAGAAAATCTAAACTATACACTCAACCAACTTGACCATGTGGATGTTTTTAGGGTACTGCACCCAACTAAAACTCAATAACTTTCCTCTCAAGTGCACATGGTACATTCTCCAGAACTGATGAGATATGAGGACACAAAACAAGCTTCAACAAATTAAAAAACATTGAAATAATAGAGTTCATCTTTTCATCTCCTGACTGCTGGTGTCAAGAGTATTGATTGTGGATCCAAGCAAGATTAAATCATGAACAACCTCAATCCTTCCTTCATCTATTATGATTTATCATCAACCTTCTCTCTCTCTCTCTCGCTCTCTCTTTCTCTCTCTCTGTGTGTGTGTGATTTCTTTAGGACTTGAAAACAAACTGGCTTTGAGGGATAATATTTTTTTCAGCCTGTTTGGATTAAGAAGTTGAACACTGACGATGCATTGACAGAACAGACAAGTCAAGAAAAGCGAATCCCTGACTTGTCTGTGGAGGAAGAATGAATGAATCTGGTTTAGGATGTTCTAACTTAACAGTTGTTATTGCTGTGTGATGACATCAAGTCACCTGATTCATAACCCTATGGACAAAATGCACCCCTGCCTAGGCTTGCTCCATCTCACAATCTGTGCTGCGCTTGACCTCAATGTTGCTCCCACTGTGTCAGTTCACCTCATGGATGGTATTCCTCTTTTTCGATGACCCTATCCTTTACCAAACATGATCTTTCCCAGGGACTAGCCCCTCCTGAGCATGTTCGAAGTATGCAAGACAGTCTCACCATCATCACTTCCAGGGAGCACTCTGGAGTTCCTACTTCGAAGACAGATTTATTTGTTCTATTGGCAGTCTATGGTATGTTGTTGTTATGTTCCATCAACTCACTTGTGACTCATAGTGACCCTATGTACAACAGCTCTGAATCCTGGGCCACTCTCACTGACTCCAACACATCTAACTTCATTGCCTCAGTTACTGTATCAATCCATATCATCTGGTGTCTCCCTCTCCTGCACTGTCCCTCCACCCTTCCAAGTATGATATCCGCCTCCAATGACTGATCCCTCCTGGTCATGTGCCAAAAATATGTGAGACAGAGTTTCAATATCCTTTACTTCAAGGAGGAACTTGATTTCATCCTCTCCAAAACAGACTTAATTGTTTTCCTGATGGTCCATGGTATACTCAAGACTCTTCTCCAGCAGCGGAACTCAAAGGCATTAATTCTTCTTCTGTCATCCTTAGTCATTGTCCAGCTAAATATTTTTAAACTACTACAACCACAATTGTAAGGTATTTATTCTTTGATCTGGCTTATTTGCTGTCCTTATTTGTTGGAGAGGAATATCATGCTTGGAAAAGTAGAGGGTTAGCAAAAGAAAGGAAGATCCTCAACCAGGTGGATTGACATAGTGGCTGCTGCAACAGGCTCAAATATATCAGAACTGATAAGGATGGCACAGGATAGGCCAGGGTTCAAATCTGTTGCTCATCAGGTTGCTATCATATCATCATATCATATATCATATCATATCATATCATATCATATCATATCATATCATATCTTATCATACTTAGTTCCATGATACCTAACAACAACAACAAAATTCATTGCCCAACTTTCCCATGCATATGTGAGATGGTCAAAAGATGTTTTCTAACAATGCTAGTACCTGGCACTGAGGGAGACAGCCCGATCACCCTCTCAGCCTCAGGTCTTGTGCCTGCTCTGTCAACGTCTACCATAGAAGGAGCCAACCACTGTCTGTGCCATTATACCTGTCTACTTGCACTTCTCCTCATAGAGACCAGCCTCCCGGATAATCTGTTCTGCATATAGGTTGAAAACGTATGGAGATAGGATGCATCCCTGGCGTACACCCTTCCCAATTTTGAACCATGCAGTGTTCCCTTGCTCTGTTCTGACGACTGCCTCCTGGTC